CTCTATTGTGAATGAGCTCCCCATGATTCCTAGCCTTATTTCTGAATACGTGTCTATTTCCTCATCATAACAGGAATGGACCATTTCCCCATAATGTTCCTGCCTCATTCTACCTTCCATCCACTCGTGGTGAGGGGTGGGGAAAGGAGTGTCCTCCTTGCTCGCCTCTGCCTTTTTCCATCCATTGTTCTCCCTAACCAATCTCTCTCTTTAAAAAGTTCGTATCACCCTCTCGTACCATCTTCTCCAGTACTTGACCCCCATTTTCCTTTCTCTCTCTCTTTCCTTCCCCTAATTCCAGTCTGTGGTTTTCCCATACCCTACCAATCACTTTGTTAATTCTTCTCACGTTCTAATTTCAAGATTCCTCTTTGTCAATTCTTTAAAAACTTTTCTTTCTCCTCCACTGAAGTTGTTCACAAGTTCAGCTATGACTAGTTCCCGATAATCTCTCAAAAGTTCCCGAGGACTCAGTTCTACAATCTCTTTTCTCACCATCCTCTCACTGAATCTGCTTTTTGTCTTCATTGTAACTGCCAGTCCCCTGACCCAGACCCACATTCAAAGCCAATAAGCCACTCTGGCTTCACTTTCTTCCAAATCTCCGAAAAGACCTCAAGGATACTCTCCTACTCAGATTCTCTTGCCCCCGTGTCCACCCATCAATGTCCATCCAAGCCAGTCTCCAGCCTGAAGAAGACCACAGTATCTGCTTTCTCTACTCCTACTCCTGTGGCTAAGAATTGGTAGAGATGATAGATGGAAAAGGTGATGGTGTTGATGGTACAATTTTTCAGAGGTTCTAATGCCAAATGCTCTCCTGAATGCTCTACATGCATTATCTTAAACACTGATTAACTTCACTACAATGTAATGCTATTCAGTTAAGTTCCACCTGGGTTTTCTGTGCTATTGAGCAATCGTTATGTCCACCTTTAATGAACCCTTTATCATATTCCTCATAGCGGCTATTTCAAAGATTTAACACTTCCCTGGAGTCCACAGCTCACTCCCAACTTTGAGACCATGTTGCTTACTTTTTTTTGGAAAGCTAAAGGCCACTCAACATGAGTTTCCTCATAGTATCTCCTCTGCCTCTTGCCCCCCACCCCTCAAATTTTCTGGGTATCTTCATCTAACCTTTCTGTGTCTTTCCCAACCTAGAGGTTCTTTCTAAGTTCAATCTTCCTCTTAGGTGCTTGATCTCCCTCCCTCTTGCTTCCTCTGTTACCTTCTATTTTCAATGTCTCCCTCTATATAAGATCCTCCCCTTCACCTATCCAAGTTCTTCCCCATCCTTTAAGAACCTGCATTCTTCTCTGCAACCCCCTGAAAATACCAACTTCTTTCGCCCCTGGAGAAAGTACTGAAGAGGACAGAAGATTCCCTGCCTTTACAGGAACAGTAAAACAGTAAAAACACAGTAAAAAAAAATCTCCCCCTGTAGGCTGTAGTTCTCATTTCTCTGCATTAGCTCTCAAAACTAAACAAGTCTCTGCAGCTGGGGGTCCCAGGACTGTTTGGACCACTGAAGAACACTTCTTTGGGCAGAAAGCTGGAAGCTTTGTGTAATATCTGGAAGTACATGGCATTGCATAGGCTATGCATGGCATTTGATAGGATATGAAGAGGAAGCAAAGTAAGTCTTTTTACTGGTCTCTGTCTCTGAGTGTCTTGCAATTTCTGTTTGATTACAGTATGAACCAGGGTAGGGAGGCAGCCAATTCAGGTAGACCCTGTGACGCTTCTCTCTTTCCCTAATCTCTCTCATCCAATTCACCACTAAGTCTTTGACAATACCATTACCTTAATACCTTCTGTTATTTACAATTGCCACAATCTGCTCTCACTAGCCTCCCTAGCTCCAGCCTTGCCCAGCTCCATTTCATTCTCCACACTGCAATCAGAACCATCTTCCTAAAGCACATCTCTGCTTGAAATCCTTCTGTGGCTCCCAAGTGTCTAAGGAACAAATCCAAGCTCCTTAGCCCATCATGCCCTGGCCCCTTCCTGCCTTGTTTCTCCTTCCCCACGTCCCATGCCAAGCTCCAGCAATGCCAACTAATTGTTCACCAAATCCCCTAAGCTGTCTCCAGCCTCTGTGCCTTTACCCTTTGCTCATTCTTTCCTCCACGTGGAATAACCCCCCCTTCCCCAACTATCTTCTATTCGTTCTTCAGGACAGTTCAAGGATCACCTTCCCACCAGTTTCCAGGGTCTACCCTTCCCAGGTATTCTGGGAGGTACTCCGGGCAACCCTCTATCCAGGTACTTTTCATGCTGAGCTCTTCTCATCTGATTCTTGTCTGTTTCACACACTGGACTATTAGCTCTTTATCAGGAACTGTATCTGATTTCCTCTGTTCGGCAGAGGGCTTGACACATACACACAAATAAATATTTCTGGAATGAATAAATGAATAAATTAGATTTTAAATAAGAGACAGAAATTTATATTTTTAACATTTAGTATCTCAGTACTGTTTATTTTCATGATGTTGTTTGGTAACAGAGATGAATTTGCACAGATTAAGGCCGAAAGAAACGGAGGACTGAATTAAACAGACCACAACATATACAACTTCTACAACTACTGCTACCATTGACTGAGGTTTAACTCTGTTATCAACATTAAGTTTCTTTGTTTTTTGTTTTTGCGGTACGCGGGCCTCTCACTGTTGTGGCCTCTCCCGTTGCGGAGCACAGGCTCCAGATGCGCAGGCTCAGAGGCCATGGCTCACGGGCCCAGCCACTCCGCGGCATGTGGGATCTTCCGGGACCGGGGCACAAACCCGTGTCCCCTGCATCAGCAGGCAGACTCTCAACCACTGTGCTACCAGGGAAGCCCAACATTAAGTATTTTTTAATGTATTGAGTCAACCCTCAAAATAATCTCCATCTTATAGATGAAGAAATTTTGGAACAGAAAAATTTAATAACTTGTCCATAAGTGGTTGAGCTGGGATTCAAACCTGGCAGAGTCAGGGCTTTTTTAACCACTGCATTGTACCACTTGCTGTGTGACCATAACTGTGCAGAAAAATGTAAATTGGGTATTCGCCTCACTCATCTATGAGCTCACTTCAATAATTCTTTGTTTTTTCCACCTTAACTTGGAAACTCACAACTTTATAAATATATTGAATTACCAGCATCAAATGATATTTGAGAATTTTTCCGGATGGGCTTAAAAAAAACACCCATGTAGCCAACTCCCTGCCACTTGCTAAGAGGAAGTAATAGTGTAGGACAGGTGGTAAGATGTGTTAATTTCATGCAGCGTGTTTCCTTTAGAATTTTCCTTTCTCCTAAAGAAGTGGCTGGTTAAAGTTTTGATACCTATTTGTGAGGTTGTATTTTTTAGTGACTTTTTCAAAGAAACACAAACTTCTGAGTGAAACTGAAGATTACAAAGACCCTGAGAGAAGGGTCTTTGACCCTATGAGGCCTTCGACATCAAAGGAGTTAACAAAGACAAAGAGAAATTAGAGAGAGGGGGTGAGAGAGCCTGGAGTCCTGGCTTTCTATGGTAAAGGGAGAAAAGTGTTTAAAAAGAGGACACACATCTGGACAGGAAAATTCAGGCAAAAGTGAAAAGCTGAATAACTTTGCGACTAAGTTTCAGAAATTGTTCTGCAGCAAATCAGAAGAAACAAGAAGATACCTGATTCAACGGAGAGCATTTAAATTCTGAGTTTGTTTTTTTTTGCTTGGTTTGTACTTTATTTCATCTTCATTTTTGGTGGCAGTGCTGTGTGTGTGTGTGTGTGTGTGTGTGTGTGTGTGTGGTAGAGGGGTGGTGGCTGGTGGATAGGAACAAAAGCAGAGGAAGAAAAGAAGATTTCAGTTCCCTGGGGCTTAAACACAAATTCTACTGCTTCAAAAGGCACCAAGTTACAAGAATTTCCCTGCGTTTCTCTACCCCACGGGCAAGCCATAGAAAGAGAAATTGCAGTGGAAAAGGGAAAAGAGTAGGAAAAAATTTGTTTCGAGCTATAAAAAAGGGAACCTGGGTTGGGGGTGGGGGGATCAGCAAGATATAGTCACCTTGAAACTATGCCTCTAGCTCCTAGAGTTCTGATGCTTTTTGATTTGTAAACAGTTTTCTGCAGAATACATGAATATTTCCAGAACTTGTGACTTGTGATATTTTAGTTTCTTCACCTCCAGTCCTTTGAATGTTCTTTTAGTAATAATGGATTAGAGCTTATCTGCATCCTGGCCAGTTTTGTAAAACCAAATAATTGCTTAGCTGCGGAAGCAGCTTTATTTGCATGTAGTTTTTTTTTAAAGAGAAATTCTGCCACCCTCTGGACAGAAACCAAAGATCTATTTCTTAGAGACCACCACAGAATACTGTTTTAAGCAACTGCCCTTGAAAATAAACATTTATTTTTTTAATCTACCCTATAAAAATAGGAGAGGGGGGAAATGACAGTTGCTTTAGATAGCATAGATGATATCTGGGGGAAAAATCATTTAAAAATACTAAATTGCCTCTAAGGAATTTTTAACTAAAGAAAATGGGTCAGAGCACTTTAGAGAAAAAGCCTCCAGTGTTTAACTTGTAATCTTTCCAAAACCACCTTATACTTATACTTATACTCTCTAGCCTGCAATAGCCAAGTAAAGATTTCTCACACGATCTCAGCCATGGCTGCTTTCATCCAGTTTTCTTTATTGGTGGAATTTTTAAAAATCTACATGTATATTAAATATAAATATATACGCATTGGTTTTTAACTAGAACATGAGGGTGGAGTGAGATTTCAGCCACAGTTGAGAGAAATTAGCCATAAGAGCACAAATGGGCAGCTTGTTTCTGAAGCTCTCCTGCTCTCATCCACCGGGCATGGAGTACTTAATGTCATGTAAATGAAACTTAAAAATGCACGGATGTGATTACCAGTAATAATGCTGGGCAAATCAAAGCACATGACATGCCGTTTTCTTTCATAAATAATCAGAGAGAGGAAGCAGGAAGACGCCGAGGACCATACCTGGTTTTAACAACAGGATTTAGATGCTTCTGGTCTTGAAGGACCTTGGCCAGCCGTTTTTGCAGAAACAAAACCTTCCCGTGGACTCCCTTAATAAATGGGTGGTCGAGGAGATGTGTGACGGAAGGCCGCTTTTCAAAATCCTTAATAAGACACCTGTTCATAAAAGTCAACAAACAACTGAAGTACAATCTTAGAAACCTGGCTCCCCTGTAAATATGGGAGAGAGGAGGAGAAAAAGCTCGTTTATAAAACCTGATCACTAACCTTAACATAGCTCTTTCTTTATTCATAGTTACGAGAACAGAAAAAAACATTCTCTACTAGCTGAACTGATCAAAACATCAGAAATCTATTAGTTTGCTTTAAATATATATTGAAAACACAATCAATTTAATTTGAAATATTCAAAACACTGAAAAACAGACTGGCCAGACTGAATTTTCTGTCTGAATTTTCATCACAGAAAAATGTTTACAATGGAGCCAAGTTGATTAGTCTATATACTTTATTTTAGAAGTATATGAAATGTCCACTATTTGGTGGTGGGGAAAATGCATTTAGGAGTTTGCAAGGACAGAAACGAATCATAAAGAAACTTTCACAGAGAAAATTCAACCCCTTGATTTCTAATATCTTCTGAAGAAGCAGAAAAACCTCAGAACAGGAAGTGGCTAGAATACAGTTCCGATGAATTGGAATGGAATTATTCAAACAGGGAACAAAAAGTCCATACAAAATGGTAAAAATTGGGTTGCATTTAAACTCCTCTGTGGTTAATTGGTTAAAACCGCACCGGTATAACCACTTTCTGTTTCAGGTTCAATGCCCTTTTCAAAGAAAACAATGATTCAGTACATTTTGCTGTGTGATGTATATTATTAAAGATGATTTTGACACAGGAAATCTCTACTGAAATTGAATCTGATGAATACCCCTCCAATTACCACTGCATTTCCATTCTGAGTAGCTGCCCTTGACGGGAGGAAGAAATTTCAACATCCGCCCTTTTAAGTTATCAGCTTTTATTTAGCTCATGTTGGAAGGCTTAGGATAAATACTAGATGCCATTCTGCCCACTCCATGAAATAAATGTTTCCAGTTTTCCCAATAGTGACATGCCAGCAACATGTAAAACACAACATATTTAAAATGATGAAATGCACTGACAAATGGTAAAATGTTCAGCCTCACCCTGAGCATCCTTTCAAAACATGTAAGCAGAGTTCCTAGAACAATCCTCAACTGTTGGTTTTACAAAAAGGCCTTAATCTTTGCATTTCAAACCACTTTCGCATCCCTCGACTTCTAGTCCTGAAAGATATTCAGTAAATTTCCCAATCATCCCATTTTGGAATTGATTCAGGGATTTCCTATCTATTGGAACTGGAGCTTTCAGCTAGAAAAGCCAAAAGAACCTAGATTATCTCCATTCTGCTGCCTGCACGACTATAAATACCACCTCTGTCTCGCTATGGGGAGAAATCAATCATTTGACTTTTATGGGTCCAGGGGCCTTTTGTATAATCTATTATATTTCCTACTAAAAATAAAAAAATCAGTGCACATCCTTTAAAAAAATACTCCGTTCATGTTTTTACATCAGCAATGTTCCCTAGATTCCATGTATATTAATCCGTATATAATTATGTGACTACCAAAGGAAAATAAATGCTAACGTTTCCCTAAGCACCTGGAAAAAAGGAACCTCTTGATAGTTTATATGGTCAGTAATACAGGTGTATGCCTCATCCTCCTAGCTTGAGAGATGGTGTATAAAAACTCCCCAAATAAAGTCTGTGTCCTCTGAGAATTCCTACTGAAGATGCACATGGTGGCTTTGCACATACCCCCACCCCCCCAGAGGGCATGGGTAGGACAGGAGACCAGGAACTGCTGGGACCCCCAGCTAAGCCTGTCCAGGGATCTGGTGCAGGTCACATTACGTCTGTCTCTCATCACCAAATAGACATACTTCCTGTACCCAAGTATATCCCCAAACACAGGGAGACTGATTTCTTAATTGGTTTCCCCACCTTTTTTTTTTTTTTGCTTTCTGGGCAAGTCTCAACTGCTTGTTGACTAGTGCCAAAACTTCAGATGAGTAAACTCAAGAGGGCTGAAAGTGGGAGGTGTAACAATTAATAGGAAATTCAGAGCAGGGGAATGGGAAAGTGAGCAGGCGCTGCCTCTACCTTCTCCCTCAGGATAGGTGCCTTGGAACAGTACTTCTGGTAATTAAAGCTCCTTAGATAGGGTTTGAGAGAAGCCAGGAAACCCATACTCCAGTCTTATGAAAACAGGTGTTTGCTAGATTCTGGGGGTGCAATTAAAGGTGCTATATCTTGTTTCATAATTTTAGCATCCAGTGGGAGAGCAAGGTTGCAAACAAGGTTGCAAGATCATTTGGTATTTTGGAAGGGATCTCTCTCTAGAAGGAGAGAGTAAGGAGTAAGAGAAATGAGGACTAAATAATGAAGTGAGATAATCAGACAAGGGAGAAACAACAATGAATCTGTTGTCTCCTGGAGATCCAAAAAATAAAGATGGTAGGTGTTTTACTCTCTGAAGGAATGATCAAGAGGATTTATTTGTTATTTCTCTCAGTAAGGCCCAAGTGGGCTGAATGTCATACCAGTGGATCAGCAAAAACTGAAACCGAGTGTATATGGGAAGAATGCTAAGCAGAGCTGTGACATATCCAACTGCATTGACGGATTTTTAGGAGAAGGGCAGGAAGACCTTGAGGGTAGAGCCTTATTCTAAAACACTCTTGCATACTTTTTTTCTCATGGGGAGCAAAGGGCCAGAATGAAATGGACTTATTATTTTACTAATAAATAGAGGAAAGTTCTATGTTAGGAGCAGATATGGTGAAAGTCAAGCATTACTAGACACCAGGTCATTGGAATCATATCATTTCATTTGTTCAGCAAACATTTATTGCACAGCTGGAATTAGTCAAAATAGATGAATTCATAAAAAATTATGACCATTTTCCTCAAAGATCGACAATCTTATTATAAAGATGGAAGGACAAGAGAAACACAGGAAACAGCAGAAGCCAGTGTTTGCTTTTATATTTAGAATAAGAAATAGTCACACGAAAGCATAAGGTTTTGGAGCTAGGGGACCAAGATTTTCTATTCTAACCCTTCTTTTACGAGGTGAGGAAGTTGAGGTCAAGTCCTGATAGTGATGAGGTCAATTCCCTGGCTCCCATGAGAGAACCCTCCTACTCTGCAATGTGTTGTTAAAATGGCACAGGTACAACGTGCAAAACAATACTAGGCAGCAGTGGGTGAGGGGCAGCCAGAGAAGGCTTAATGGAAAGAGGATTGAGCTGAGTTTGGAAGGAATTTTTGGAACTAAATTGAACTCAATATGTGGAGAAGATGTAGAAGGCATTTCAAGGTTGGGAAACTGGATCAGCAATGAAAGAAGCCAGCCTAGGCAAGCTGTGTAGCCGGGCACTCAGGAGGTCACCAGAACGTTGACCTTCACCTCCTAAGCTGCCTCCTTTGAACATCTAAGAACAACCCTTTGCTTTAGTCCTTTTACCAGCTTTAACGAGGGTATATCCTTTATTGCTTAAGATGTTGCAGTTTTGTGCCCCAAACTCATACTGTTATGTTTTCAGCTTGCCATTTCTGTCTTATTCTCCTTTCAGGCAGGGATTTAGCGGATTAAGGTAGAATTGACAGCCGGGATCGGTAAGAACTCCTGACAGCCTCCATGTCCTTTTATAAGCATGATTAAATCCTCTAACTTGATTTGGAGAACAAACATGGAAAATTAAGGAAGTTATAATATACTTATTCATTTTCAGATTGCTTATTAAACCAGGAATTGCAAATTCCAGATGCAGAATATTTTCCCCCAGCAGGGGATTGAGCCGTTTTTACAAGAAAATGCATAAAACGTTGACCTCTGTATGGGAAAATGGGGGCCAGCCAGTGTGAGGTAAGTTGGGTGAAACACTAGACACATGAGACATTCCACTGAAAAATGAAACTAGTCTTCTGGTCAAAAAGGTTTGGGAAACATTGGTGATTCTCTAAACCAAGTAAATCTGGAGTTTCATAGTACGTGTGAGCATATTAAATGTTCTTAGAAGTATGGAGGTAAAGAAAACAGCTTAATTTTGTTTAAATCCATGTTTCCAAACTTACTCGGCCACAGGTCCTTTTTTGTATCACCAGAACCAGGGCCCTGCAAATGACATCCTTGGAAGCTCTGTTGTGAGAAATCAGTACTAGGCTCTTGAAATTGGCGGCTGAGTCTTTATCTCAGCTGATTGAGGGGAGACACTCAGAGCCCCTAATTGTCACCAGCATGTTTGAGACACCTGTAGGCTGCAGTTTCTGCAGAAGACTGTCTTGAATTGGGGAAATACATTCACCAAGCTCAGTTCTTCCCAGAATCTTTTACTCTGGGAAAAAGAAATTGAACAAGGACTAAATTTAGGGAATGTTGCTTTTTTCCCAAAATCATAAGTAATTCTTTCAGTCCCAGACTTTTTAAAAGTCATTTTTAAAAATGTGGATTTAGGTGTGGTTATCTCTGTGCTAAGATACAGAACAAAAGAATAAAAAAATTAAAACTACCATGAGATGTATTACCTGGATTTACAAGGCCATGGAAGGTGGTTTGAATATGACAGAAAAGTCCACGAGAAGAAAAAGGAAGCAAATTTCAGCCCTGAAGGAAATTTAATCCATTACCTAATTTGAAATTCTAGTACCTTCCATCATGCATTCTTGGCTGAAGATTAATTCTCAGAATTCATTAGTGTCACCACATTAAACACAGGTTGCTGCAGCCATTTGCTGGGATCTCCCAGCCTGGCCTCTGCCAGAAACAGGCAAAAAGGAGGCATTTCTATTTTTTTAATTTATTTATTTATTTATTTATTTTTGGCTGCGTTGGGTCTTCATTGCTGCACGTGGGCTTTCTCTATGTGCGGCAAGCGGGGGCTAATCTGTTGCGGTGCATGGGCTTCTCACTGCAGTGGCTTCTCTTGTTGCGAAGCATGGGCTCTGGGCGTATGGGCTCAGTAGTTGTGGCTCGCAGTCTCAGTAGTTGTGGCTAACGGGCTTAGCTGCTCTGTGGCATGCGGGATCTTCCTGGACCAGGGCTCGAACCCGTGTCCCCTG